AGTGAAAAATGAATTTTCCAGATCAATAGCACACAATAGATGTCAGGTGCTCCATTAACTTGCTCCCTTAACGAACCGACATCCAGAATAACAGTTGGAGTTGTCATTTGATTGAGCTTACTGTAATTCTTCTGTTACTCTCTACCTTCTCTGACTTTGGCAAAGACCCCAAGTCAAGTGAAAGTTTAATAGAAATCACTATCTCAGCCGGGCTCGGTGGCTCAGCCTATAATCCCGTGCCTTTGGGAGGCTGAGGTGAGTGGATTGCCTGAGCCTGCGGGTTCGAGACCTGCCTGGGCAGGGAGACCTCATCTCTACAATAACTCAAAAAATCAGCCGGGTGTGGTAGCACATGCCTGGAATTCCGGCTACTCGGAAGGCTGAGGCGGAAAGATCGCCGGAGCCCAGCGGGTCGAGGCTGCAGTGGCCAGGAGTGGCCACTGCACTCCAGTCTGGGTGACAGAGTGAGACTCTAACTCAAAAAAAAAAAAAAAAAAAGAACACTGTCTCTGAGTTTTCAAATTACACATTATGTCCCTGAACTCTGCAGTTCTACATGATGTAGTATTATTGTTTTTTTTACTGATTGAGTAGTGAGAAGCAGATTCAGGAGTCTTCATTTGGCTCCATAATATATTTCACTTGATTTAATATGGAAGATTTCATTTCTTCTAATGAAGTGTATTCCATATATGCTTTCAGGAACTGGGCAAATGAATACCACATGTATTTTCAGATCCCCTACACTGGTTTTAAGTGGAATAAGTCTAAAACATCATTTCTCACCTGATGGTATTAAGCTTCCTGTCTATTTGTTGGACTATAGTAGATTTGAGGTCCTCAGGAATGAGCACCTCTTCAGAACTAGTGTCCAGTAACCCACTCCCACTCCTTCAAAATCTGAGTATTCCCTGTTTCCAAGGTTAAGACAGACCTACTGTCTTGGTTTTCTTTGGGAATACTAGTGAGCAGATTTATAGTACATATTTGTTACAGTGTTGCATAGGCTTCATTTAAAGACACCCTGAACCCCTTCATTCAAGAAGCCTGGATCTGTGAAGTGACTCAGCTCTGGAAATTGAGTGAGAAGACATACCTTACTTAATACAGAGTAAAATGACTTTAGACAATTGCCCACCCATTTCAGTCTTTCAGATATTATGGCAGCCTTAGTTACTGTCAGAAATCTTGCTATTATGTTTCACCTCTGCTGCTCATTTCTACTAGTAAACATATCTACCCTATATTTGGTAGTTAATCATTGCTACTTAGACTCCACCGCTCTGGGATCTTATTGTATCCCTTGACAATAAAAGTCTCATTTTTAATGGCAGCTTCCCACAATCATTTTTGTCTACAGGTGACTGCCACTACAGGATTTTTTTTATTTTTATGTTGCTGGAGAAGAGAGTATGTTTTGGGTTTTTCTGAGAGGCATCTGGAGGGGCAGCTGAGAGAGTCACAATAAATCCATTTTAATATCTCTATCACTCAGAAACATTTGACTTAAGCCTACTTCTGTATTCTTCAGTCAACCAGTGAAGCAAGCCAATGTGAACTGCTTGAGGTAATACCTTAAAATCAAAGACTGCCGTACAGTCTTTTCTTTCTGGTCCACCACCCTGGCACCCATTCCCACGTCCTTGATATTTCTACTGGTATGAAATATCAATGTATTATTAGCACACAATTTTTTCTGGCTTTGTATGGGGGGATCCAAAAAAACAACAAATTCATTTTTAAAAATTGTGTATTTATTTGTATATGTTTAAACATCAGTCACCTTCAAAGCACTCTGATGTAATACATCTATCAAGAGCTCAAAACAGTTTTTGAACTCTTCAGTTTTGATGTCTCTTAGTGTTTCTGCCTTTTTTTGTTTCACCTCTTACACATTGGCAAAGCATTTCCTTTTGGGGGACGTTTTTCATCTGAGGAAACAAAAAAGTCATTTGGGTGTGATCAAGTGAATAGGGAGGGTGGGACACAGAAGCCATGAAGTTTTTTGTAAAACACTGCGGAACACTCTGCAATGTGGCCTGGTGCATTTGTAATCACTCATCAAGAAGTGGGTAAACTTGCAGAAGCAATTTCCCCCCTCAAAAAAAAAAAAAATTATCTGAAGCCAAATGCAGCCTCTCACAACACACTTGCTGGCATACTGATGCTGATGGGTTCCTACAACATTTTCCTATTGGGAGAAGCCTGTACTACAGAGGCCCGCTCACCAAAAAATACTTCTGTTTTTTCTTTTGGGTTCTCCTTTGTATATTTGACCAAAGAATACAAGTGCATTACTTATTTGTAACATCAGGATCCAGATAAAGATATTAAAATCATGCCCAGATGTATCAAATGGAGGGGATCTGAAATGTATTGTAGTATACACAACTGTCAAAAGTTTGAAAAAAACAAATCTCAGACATGGATAAATGCAAGAAACAGCATTACCAGGTCTGCTGAACAAAAAGGAAGAGGTAGTGATTTATAACCCAGGCATGCAGAGGAAGGGCTGTCACACATCTGAGTTTGAGACCTCTCAAGAATGCCACATGACTGTCTTATACAAAGGTGCCTTCAGTAGGTAGTGGACAATATATTGCTAGAATTTCTGAAAGATTCTGAAACTGGTACTGTCTTTCTTAATTATTTGACTAAGATAGATGAATTTAAGGCAGAATATTGCAAATAAATTTTTAAACAGCTTAGCAATTTTATTGATTGCAGTAATACATGTATTAATATTTTGAGACTTTTTATATTTGTGTAAAGCAAATATGAGATAATATCAGCAATCAAAATTTCAAGATAATAAAGATATATAGCTAGTGGGTCGTGAACCAAATGCAAATTCAGATTGTCTTTTTCTGAAGAGAATATAGAAGGAACAAAGATAAAGTTTTGCATTTAAGAAATTGATCATCCATTAGTGATAAGAAAATAATTACAACAGAACAAGATAATTAGCTGTGTACCTTTGATGAGTTAGTTAAGCTTTCTGTGCAGCAGTTTCTTGAGTGTGTGTGTGTGTGTGTGTGTGTGTGTGTGTGTGTGTGTGTGTGTGTGTAAGCAGGATTTGAGAGGTCAGGAAAGCTCCTACAGTGGAAGGGGACCTCAGGGGGTTGCCCAGTGTCTTTAGTTTTAATATATGGATAGTGTCAATTCATCAATTCTCATGAGAATAATTAAAAGAGACAATTCTTTAATAACCCTGATGTTAGCTATGATTATGATTTTCATTACTAGTACTCATATTTTATTTACTTAAAGAAAACAAGACTGCTGGAATTCTTGTTAAAGAAAAGATCTCAAGTGACTTCCTCTGTTGAAAAAACACAATCTGTAGGGGTTAGAGAGGAAGATTCAATGACACGTGAAACAGATTCAACCCATTTGAGGGACAGTAAATATCACAGATAATAAGCATTAATACAGCATAGAAGCAAACCAGACCTAACAGAGTGCTTAGGAAGGCATCAGCCACAATGTGCAAAGGTAGAAATTGTCATTGGGTCAAGGAGATGGATGACCACTGGTTCATTACATTAATTTTGAAATCATTTAAATATTGTTATTATATTGTTTCTACACTCAAATGAATGCATAGAAAGTATCAAAAGTACCCAAGATATTTTATCTATTTTCTCAGAATGATGCTTTAAAACAATATAGTCCATTGAGTACTTTCAAGTATTTTATTTTTCCTTTTTGCACATTAGTGTTTTAAAATCGAATATAAAAACATAAGATTTCAGTTGTATTAAATGGAAATATAGTATTAACTTGAAAAACTGTATATAATTATAAAAAAGTTGAAAGACAATCTTGCAATGTTAAATTAAATTTAAACATTATAAATGCATATGCTTAAATCCTATATTTTCCAATTCTGTGTATTAGTATGGTCTAGCATCGATGAGTATGTATAGTACTAAGATACTTTTTCTCCACTTTCATTCCTCACTAAAATAAATAAAGATTCCTTGAAGTAATACTTAACTCCAGGTTTCAGGTAGAAACGATTTATGTGTATAGAGAAAAATATGGCAAGAAATATGCAAAGGTGTCAACATTAGTGATCTTAGCAATATAGGAATGAGATTTATTATTATTTTCTTTGAATTTTCATTCTTATATATATATATATGTATATATATGATAATATGATAGGTTCTAGGGAGAAAAATGTTTCAAAAAGCTTTCTGTGTACTCTCTTAGCTACCTGGAATTTTTCTGACTCCAATACTTAAAGTTACATGACTTTGGCCAAGCTACTTAAGTTTTATAAGACTCATTTTATTCATTTATGAGAAGATAATAATACTGGTTTTATAGATTTATTGTTTGGGCTGAGATTACATATGCAAATCACTTAGCATAGGGCATGGATCACAGAGTAAATAATTAATAAATGCTCACTATTACTGTTATCATTACTATCATTATTTTTATAACACCCCTCTCAAAAAATTATCAGACCTAATTGCCAATACGTTTGTCTCCGACAAGGCAATATAAATTTTATAGTGGCAGAAATAATAGCTATTTTGTTTTCTACACTTGCAACACTTTAAAAATGTGTTCATTTGTTTTTCTCTATGCTATGATGAACTATTTTAAAACAAAGGTTCTGCATTCTGTAAATTTTCTTTGGACAATTTTGTTAGAGTCAAAAAATTATTTCCCAAGTTATTACTCAATACATGCCTGTTTCTTGGCCTACAAATAATAATATGATCATTGACAGAACTTGCTCCAGTTTTATTGCTCATTAAACCTTGAACTTGCACTCAACGTGACTTTATCTGGATGACCAATGAATCTGTAACCTTATTATGCTAACCCTTAAGCTAACTGGCAACTCTATATACCAAAAGTAAGATAAAACTTCTGACTGAAGTTGAGGAACACTGCCTATCAGAGTACACTATTCAGGCAGATCACATAAGTTTACTTTCTGCATTTCTAAAGACAAAGAAGCAAGTAAACAGAAATACAGCATGAGAAGAAAATCACTCTACCTTCTGACTGTGGGGGTCCTTGCAACATATTATATTTATACACCTCTCCCAGATAACGTTGAAGAACCATGGAGAATGATGTGGCTTAATTGGCAAGTGAAAACTGTAACACATTTGATAAGTTTGGAATTTTATGAATTCACATGCGTGTATGCCATTGTTGGACTTGGAGAAGTAATTCTGCCATTTGACCTGTGATTGTGTTCTTCTGGCTTATAGTTTTATTCATTTTTTCATCTTATCTAAATTAAGTGCTGTGATCTTTGCCTATTTATATCTTAGAAACACTATTTTTTTACTTTCTGTTTTATATATTGAAATCATGTTTTTAAAATATCAAGAGCAAGAAATGAAGAACCATCTGAGAAGATTTTACTGAAAAATGCTTTGCTCAGGTAGCATTAGTATCATGGTAGTGGCCATTCTTTGAAATTCCTTATCTTAGGTATAGTTTGGTATTCAAATCGTATAAACAAATCAGAGATCACCTGATTATGTGGCACTGTGCTAACTATTTATTTTTCTGCAGTCATCTTTCAGAGTCAGAGTATAGACCAAGGACAAGCAAATAAGTTCTCAAGAAAATACTCTGTTAGCAGTCTGGTTGGCACATGCCTAGGGTCAACCATGAGAGACAAGATATACAGAAATGGTGAGGGTGCCCTGGGGTATCTTGGTAACTGGCTGCTTGCCAGAACAGCTCTGATGCTGGCAAACTAAAAAGGTATAACTCTCTCTGGAGCCTTGGGAATATTTTTCTAATACTTCTTTGATTATTCTATTCCCTTCATTTAAAAAAAATATATTTTCAGAACTTAGATGAATATTGTCACTCCTTGAGTGCTTTTCTATTTTACATTTATTCAACAAATAAATTTTGTCAAATTTTATTTGGTAAAGAGAGTCTGTCCCCACATAGTTGATATTCTAGTGGTGGAGAAAAACAACAACAATAAGAATCGTATGATTATGTGACTTCAGATCATGAGCAGTACATTGAATGAGATAAGATGAAAAAAATATATAGTAAGTTGGGTAGAAGGCCAAGGTAGGTCTACTGCGTGTGTGGTCAGAGAAAGCCATTCCAATGGGGGAAAAATCTGCTTAGAGACCACAAGAATGAAAAGAAACCAACCATCTCAAGTACTAAGGAAAAAGTTTTCCAGCAATGACAGCAACCAGTGCAAAAATCTCAGCTGCAAAATACTTACAAATTCAAGAAATCATATGAAATATTTGGATTTGATAGAGAAATGGTTGAAATTAGTTTGGAGAGGTTGGATGTTACATACAGTGCTTTGGGGGCAATAGTAGCAAGTTTTAACTTATTTCTATGTATAATGTAGAACTATCAAGGAGTTTTAAGAAAGGGACTTTTTTCTCATATTTGTTTTCTTTATGTAATGGTTTGTAAGAGGCCCTTGATTTTGTTTTCTTTCAGTTCTACTTTTAATTATTTTTAAACTAATTTGAGTATTCATATGTTTTTTTTCCTAAAGTTTTCTTCTTCTCTGGTCATCTATTATTTGTTTTCATTCTGTTCATAATTTATGAATATATCGTCAGAGCTCTCAAAAGATACATATTTTTACAAGTGTTGTAATGTCTGTTCTTATTCCTGAATTATCAGTTGTTTGTTTCTTTTTTCCTTGTGGTCAGTTATTCTCCTGCTTCATCTTGTTTATCCTAATGAGTTTGACTGGCTTGCCTCAAATGTCGGGCAATCTTTGGTATCAACCTTTTATTGAAGGATTATGCTATGAATATTAAATCAAGAATCAAACTGCTGGATTTAGAATTCTGGTAAATATCATTTACTAACTGTATATGGTTGGACTACTTATGTAACCTCACTGGGCTCATTTTCCTCATCTCACAAATGGAGATGATAACATTATTTACCTCCTACATTGGCAAATATTTAACATCATTATGATTGGCACATACAGAATGTTTAGAACACTGACTCATTCTAGGGTGGAAGGGCAGGTTGTAAGCAGGCAGGTTGTCCTCCTTATTTTTCTCACCCATTCTTCCCTCCCAACCCTGCTTCCCAGATCCCACACACAACAAGCTATAGAGGCATGCCTCACTGTGTCAACAAAAACCTCTGCATTTCTAAGCTAAACCACTTCCTCCACCTGGAAGAGTTTTTCTGTATTTGGTTAAGCTAAAGACTTAAGAAAAGGTATCTCTTTCACGACTCACAGTTATTTTCCTCTTTGAAAACTCCTTTCCTTTTGTTATTCCCAGGTAGCTTTTGTAATCACATGGTGTTTGCTCCCCAAGTACCCTTGAGCAGCGGCGCTATATAGTAGTATTTATACTATTTTGAGCAGCTTACCCATCTGTCTTTCCCATCTGCCCTGAGATTCCTGAGAAGAGCAATTATTTTGTTCACCTCTGAAGCCTTAAAGCTTTGTAGAGACACTAGACACATTTTGGTGGGAAAATAACTAACCTAGTTGTAAGGGTTTTGAGAAACCTTCCCCCTCATCCTCTAAAAGGTTGCTGAAAATCCATTGACAAAAGGCTGATTAGTAGGAGAAAGGGCATATAATTTTTTCACCATGCATGGGAGTCTTAGAAAATATGAAATATCAAATAAATGAACAGATGGTTAATGTTTTAATGCTATTTTGAGGTTACAAAAAGAATGGGTTTTGGAGTATGGTCAAACACAGGATATGGTGGCAAGACAGGTTATAGGAGGAAGAGAAGAAAAGGCCTGGCTAACAAAAGTGGTCTTGTTATAAAGATGCAGACTTACAGATAGCAGCCCACAGAGACAATAGATGGCATGTGCTTCTTTCAGATATTTAAGGGTGTCAGGCTCTCAGTTCATCTTTCCTTGATCTGGATAAAGAAAAGCCTCAGAGAAAGTCTGGCCCTGCATCAAAGCAGGTTTTTTTTCTACAGATGCAAATCTTCCCCACAAAAGGCAGCTTTTAAGCTATTCTTGTGTTTTCAACTTTTCTGACTAGCCGTACTGAAATATGACAATGATATGGGGATGAAACATTTTAGTTTCTTTCAGATTGTTTTCCCTCCTTATTAGCAACAACTGTAGGAAAAATCTCTGCAGTTCTGGTCCTTTTAAAAGGATCTAACAGAATTTATATACGAAAATTTAGTTTGTTTTATTTGAGCTTGTTTAGGGTTGGTGGGTAATTATATGTCCATAGACTAATGGCATTTGACTCTTGAATTCTAAAATATGTGTGAATTTCATTTTTAGATTACATTTGTCGAGCTGCTAGGACTTTACCATTTTATGGATTTCAGTATGATTTTCATAAACCTTACAGAAGTTCCACCAACCTCAGATGAAAACATCACTGTGACTGAGACAAAATTCAATGACATTCCTGTTCGTGTATATGTGCCAAAGAGGAAGTCAGAGGCACTAAGAAGGGGGTTGTTTTATATCCATGATGGTGGCTGGTGTTTGGGAAGTGCTGGTAACTGAATCTGTCACTGAGGTACACAAAAGTTGTACTAAGCTTTAGTTATTATACTGTACCCTTCTGTATGGACACCGTAATCATGTTTCTTCTTATGCTTTGTTCTCCTGACAAAGCCTTATTCTTCCTGAAGCCTCAAATCACTGTTTTCCGTATATAACTTTCCTTATCAACCCAGGTAAAGGTGAGAAGACAACATTTTTTTCTACTTATTACTATCATTTTAAGAAAGCATGCCCTGCTATCTCTATTATATTACATTTAATGTGAGAGGACCATCTAGTGTGTTAATTTAGTTACTCTGTGCTTCACACTATTCTAAGAGCATCGATTATATCTTTGAACAGACAAAATGTCCTGCCTTCTTGGAGGTTACATTCTAGTGGAGAAATCAATTGATAAATAAGTAAATAATTCCTGTGTGTTTTATAGTAATAAATGTATGAATGAATAGATAAGAGTCATCAACTGTTAGCAAAGGTTGCATATTTCCTGATGTATAGAACTAGAGTAGAAAGAGAAATATACTTAAAAGCGGAAGCACTGGGATAAAGGTCCCAATTGTGTAGATCTGAGAAAATCATCTAACCCACCTGAGTCCCAGGGTTCTTGATAATCATCAATTATTGTCAGTGAATCAAATATAAACCAACTGGTGGGGTGAAGATCAGACTGCAACTAAGTTAAGAACTCTAAACTCCAGAGAATAAAAGTAAGTTAGTCCTGACAAGAAAATATTACAGACTTGAAATTAAGCAAATTTGACCATTGATGGTAAGTTTGGGAGTGAGAGACAGACACACACACACACACACACACACAGAGAGAGAGAGAGAGAGAGAGAGAGAGAGAGATCTGTCTGTCTTGTTTCTGGTATGATGACTGGGAAGTTGAGAACAGATCCCTGGGAAACAGACAGAGTGATGCATTGGGTGAAGTTAAAAGGAACCAGCAAAGCACTGAGAGGTGATCAAAGAGGTAATAAAATGAAAAGAAGACCAAAAAGGTGAAAACCTCAAGAAATAGGAATTAATAAAAAGTACTAAATAGTGTAGAGATGTCAAGTAAGTAGGACAAAAGTATGTCTTTTGGATGTTAAACTTTTTATGCTAATATTATTGAGGAGAAACTTGTTGTATATTCCCAGAGAAACACGTTGCAGCAAGCAAAATTTGAGAGGCAAGGAAATGGTAAGAATAACTGCAAGCCATGGGGGAACTTAGTTGTAAAAGGAATAAGCAAGAAAATGACAGGTTGAAAGGAGAGTTAAGTAAGAACACTTTATTATTTATGTGAGAGAAACGTAAATGAGTTGGTAGACAAGGAAATAAATAAAATGAATAAAAATGTTAGATGGCAACTGGAGAGTAACCAACCTGCACCTCTCTCACCCAGTGAAAAAGAGAGGATGGACCCAACCACCAACAAACTTAGGCAGCTTGAGTAGTTTTGTATGCCAGAAGCACCCTGCATCCTGCATGGGAGGAAGGAATCTAGGCAGACCTTAGAGCCCGGACCTCCATCTGCTCCAGGTGCTAGGCTCCCATAGGATCTACCTTGTGTGTGAGAGGGAGTGAGTGCTCTTGAAACGATCTGGTTTGATTCCCTTCCTCCCAGCCCAGTGGATCATTGGTCCCATGTGGGAAGAGATCTACTTAAGGCACAGTGGGTGTTGCTGGAGCATGAAATGGGAAGCCCACCCAAGCACTGAACTCTAACTGCCCGTCAACTCCTGAGGGTGTGTTCCCCAGCAGTGCCAGTAGCCAGCACTCAGCCAGGAAAGCTTGCCTGCTGGGTGCACTCATAAGGTGCCTCCCTCTCTTCCCTCAATTCCTCTCCTTCTGTGTCTGGTGGCCAACCAGAACAGGAAACCAGAAAAGTTTTCCTGTTAGCGTCATGCACCCAAAAAGCAGTTCCTCCATGACAGGGAATCTGCTGTTATCAAGTGCCATTGTAGCCTCTGATGGGGAGGGAAGTTGTGAAAGATACCCAAAGGCCCCATTTCTCAGTGGGAAATGTCTCAGTTGTGAATGGTGTTAAAACTCCTGCAGCACTCCCAGCTGCAAGGGGGCCCATCCTCCCATCAGATCCTGGCATAGAGCTTGCCACAGGTTTGAAAAACAGACTGGTTGTCCCAACAACAGGAAAAACTCTGCAACAGAATGTCACTTTATTTTTTGAGTTATTGATAATGGGCATTCTGACTGGAGTTAGGTGGTATCTCAGTGTAGTTTTAATTTGCATTTCCTTGATGACTAGTGAGGTTGAACATTTCTTCATGTATCTGTTGGCCACTCGTATGTCTTCTTTTGAGAAGTGTCTGTTCATGTCTTTTGCCCACTTTGTAATGGGGCTGTTTGTTTTTTTCTTTTCAGCATGTTTGAGTTTTTTGTAGATCCTAGATGTTAGGCCTTTCTCAGACATGGGGTTGGCAAATACTTTTCCCAATCCGTGGGCTGTCTCCCTGCTCTCTTGATGGTTTCTTTGGCTTTGCAGAAGCTTGTCAGTTTAATGAGGTCCCACTCATCTATCTTATCTCTTATGGGATATGGTGAAAAGGGAACACTTCTACACTGTTGGTGGGAGTGTAAACTAGTGCAGCCTCTGTGGAAATCAGTGTGATGATTCCTAAAAGCTCTAAAAATCGACCTTCCATATGATCCTGCAATCCCCCTACTGGAAATATACCCTGAAGAACTCAAATCACTCTATAAAAAAGATACCTGCGCATGTATGTTTATTGCAGCATTGTTCACAATAGCAAGATCATGGAACCAACTATGCTGTCCATCAAAAGAGGACTGGATAAAAAAAATGTGGTACATATTCATGATGGAATATTACGCAGCCATAAAAAAGAACAAAATCATAAATTTCACAGCAATCTGAATGGAATTAGAGTTTATAATACTGAGTGATCTCTCACAGAAACAACAATCTGAGTATCACATGTTCTCACTCATAAGTGAATCTTGAACAACCATCGTAATACTATAAGAAAAGGATTGACAGTGGTGGGAAACTAGGGGGGCAGGAAGGGGAAGGGGGGTGAGTATTAACAGTAGTCAATATCTGTCTGGGGATGGGGAGACACACCTCATCAACAAGTGTACCTACACAATGCATATTTGTATACCTTATCCTTAACTGTACCCCACAATTTTAAAATAAAAAATATGTATTAGAAAAAAAAGAAAGTTACTTTAAGTTCTGAGCACTGCCAAGCATGAATGGAGGAGCCATAATAAAGGCCCCTCTTTATCTCCCTGTGTGAAGTATCTTGAATGACCAAAAATGTCCTAAGGCAGCAAGATCATGCCTAGCTACAAAACAACAAAACTCAAAAAATAATAATAGAAAGAGAAGAGCTGCTTCTCACAGATTAGAAAGAATCAGAGAGAAAAATCAACAATCCTCAAAGCCTTAAAAGGAATCACCTACAAAAACACTGCCTAGTCCCCAAACAAAGGAAGCTACCCACAAAGACCTATCCCTGATGACAGACATAGAATTCAGATATTGGATGGCAAAAACAGTTAAGGAAACCCATGTGCAAGTGGTAAAGATAACCCAAGTCATGAAAAAAGTAGACATTGAGATGTGCATTATAAGAAAGGTTCATTCTGAAATCATGGAAATGAAGAATTCCTTCCTGAATTTTTACAGCTCAGTAACAAGTGTAGGCAACTGAACTGATCAGGCAGAGGAAAGTAATTCAGAGCTTGAAGATCAAAATATGGAACTAACTCAGTCTGACAAAAAAAAAAAGAAAAAAGGCCAAGAATAATAAGCAGTGTCTCTGAGAGCTGTGGGACTATGTAAAGAAACCAAATACATGATTTATTGGTATTCCCAAAACAGAAAGGGAAGCTGAGAGCATCTTGGAGCAAACCTTCCATGAGGTCATCCAAGAAAAATTTCCGTGTCTCACTGGAGAGGCTACCATCCAAATGCAAGAGATTCAAAGACCCCTGTAAGGTATTACATGAGAAGATCATCCCCAAGACACATCACAATTCATCTCCACAGTGTAAGAATGAAAGAAAAAATCCTAAAGGCAACTGGAGAGAAGAGTCAGACCACTTACTAGGGAAAATCCATCAGGATTGTGGCAGACTTCTCATCAGAAATTCTACAAGCCAGAAGGGACTAAAGTCCCACATTTAAGATTCTCAAAGACAATCAGTCAAGATTGTCCTACCCTATCAAAATAAGCTTCATCAGTGATGGAGAATTAAACTATTTCCTAGACATCCAATTCCTAAGAGAATATGCCACTTTCAGACCATCCCTTAAGGAGAGCCTTGAAGCTAGGAGGCCAGGCACAGTGGCTCAAGCCTATAATCCCAGCACTTTGGGAGGCCAAGGTGAGAGAATTTCCTGAGCCCATGGGCTCAAGAGCCTTAAGAAAGCATTGAGCACAGATAAAAGAATGATTCCACTCATTGCAAAAGAACACGAAAGCCAAAGCTAACAGAGAATACAGATCATCCATTAATCTAAAAAAAAATTTAAAAATAAAAAAACTACAACAAAAACAAAACAAAGCAACCTCTTAAGAGTCTTATGACATGACAGGGATAAACTCTCACATATCAATAATTAACTTGAACATGAATGGATTGAATGTGCCACTAAAAAGTCATAGACCAACAAACTGGATAGAGAAACATGATCCAACATTCTGCTGCCTCCAGGAAACTCACCTTACTGCAAAGGACGCACACAGGTACAAGGCAAAAGACTGAAAATTAATCTTCCAGGAGAATGGAAAACAAAAAAGAGCAGGGGTAGCTAATTTCATATTAAACAAAATGGATTTCAAACCAAAACAAAGTTAAAAAGGACACTACATAATGATTAATCAAAGGTTCAATCCACCAGCAAGAAATGCAAATTCAGGAACCCCTTTTAATAAAACAATTGCTATATAAACTAAGAGATGACATAGACACCCATATAATCATAGTTAGAAACTTTAGTACCCTACTGGCAGCCCTAGACAGATCATTGAGTCAAAAAACCAACAAGGAGATCTGAAGCCTTAACTTGACATTAAGCCAATTGGATCTAATAGACATCTACAAAGCACTCCACTCAATAGCCACAGAGTATACGTTGTATTCATCAGCACATGAACAAAGTTCAATATTGATCACATTCTCAGACATAAATCAAGCATGAAAAAGTTTCAGAAGTTTGAAATAATATCAAACATATTCTCACATCACAGTGGAATTAAAAATAAATATCACTGCCAACAAGAATTTCTCCAAAACACACAAAGACATAAAAAACAATATGGTGCTGAATGACTTTTGGGTCACCACAGAAATCAAGACAGAAACAAAAAGATCCCTGGAAACAAATGAAAACAAAAACACAACATATCAAAACCTCTGGGATGTCATGCAAGAAATGTTGCATAGGAAGTTCATAGCATTGCATGCTCATATCAAGAAAACAGAAGGATTGCAAGTAAACAGTCTAACATCACATTTAAGGGAGCTAGAAAGACAAGAACAATTAAATTCTAATTTTAGTAGAAAAATATAGATGACTAAGATAAAGTCACAATTACAAGAAACAGAAGACAAAAAATATCATAGAAAATATTAAGACAAATAATTGTTTTTTAAAAGGATAAATAAGTTAAACAGACTTCTAACTAGGTAGACTAATAAAAGGATAAAATCTGAATAAAGAAATGAAAAAGGTGATGTCACAATCAATCTTGAAGGAATTCAAAAGAATATCAGCGATTACCAAAACCATTTGTATGCTAATAAACTAGAAAATCTAGGGGAAATGGGGGATTCCTGGCATCATGCAACCTCCCAAGGCTGAAACAAGAAGAAATTGAAAACCTGAACAGACCAATAGTAATCCGAGAAATCAACTCAGTTATAAGAAAACTCCCTAGCCGGGCTCGGTGACTCAGCCTGTAATCCCGTGCTTTGGGAGGCTGAGGTGAGTGGATTGCCTGAGTCCGAGGGTTCGAGACCCGCCTGGGCAGCGAGACCTCATCTCTACAGTAAATCAAAAAATCAGCCGGGCGTAGTAGCACATGCCTGTAATTCTGGCTACTTGGAAGGCTGGGGCAGAAGAATCACCGGAACCCAGCAGGCCGAGGCTGCAGTGGTCGGACAACTCAAAAAAAAAAAAAAAAAAAAAAACTCCCTGCCAAAAAATGTCCTGGACCAGATGACTTCTCAGTTAAATTCCACAAGACATACAAGGAAAAGCTGAGACAAATCTTATTAAAGTTTTTCAGGAAATCAAGAAGAAAGGAATTCTCCCTAGTTCATTTTATGAAACTAATATCAACTTTATACCCCAAATAGGCAAAGACCCAACAAAAAAATAGAATTACAGGCCAATTTCCCTGATGAGCATAGATGCAAAAATTCTCAACAAGATCTCAGCAAACATTATCCAACAACACATTTCAAGCATCATCCACGTTGACCTGGTGGGTTTTATTCCTGGAACGTAGGGCTTGTTCAACATTTGCAAGACCATACATGTAATTCAGCACATTAACAGATGTAAAAACAAGAACCACAGGACTATCTCATTACATGCAGAAAAAACATTTGATAAAATTCAGCAACCTTTGTTGATAAAAACCCTTGAATACCTAGGCATTGGAGGAACACTCCTCAAAACAATGAGTCATCTATGACACCCCTGAAGCCAAAATCATTCTTAGTGAGCAAAATCTGGAAGCATTCCTCCTAAGAATTGGAACTAGACAAAGTTTCCCACTCTGACCCATTGTACTCAACACAGTACTGGAAGTTGTAGCCAGAGTAATCAAGCAGGAAAAGGAAATCAGTGGTATCCAAATAGGATAAGAAGAAGTTAAGCTATCTCTCTTTGCAGACAATATGATTGTATACCTAGAAAACCCTACAGAGTCTATCAAAAACCTCCCCACACTGATAAATGACTTTAGTAAAGTCTCTGTAAAAATTGATCTCCCTGACTCAAAAAATAAAAAAAATTAAAAATTGACCTCCTATATGACCCAGCACTCCCCCTTCTGGGAATATACATGGAGGAACTCAAACCATTCTATATTAAAGATACCTGTGCATGCATGTTTATTGCAGCACTATTCACATTAGCAAATGCATGAAACCAACCATGCTGCCCATCGAAAGTAGACTGGATTTTAAAAATGTGGTATATATTTACAATGAAATATTATGCAGCCATAAAGAAGGACAAAATGATGAACTTCACTGCAACTTGGATGAAATTAGAGTCTATAATACTAAGTGATCTATCACAGAAACAAAGACTTGAGTACCACATGTTCTTACTCATAAGTGGATACTGAACAAATATAATACTACAAGAAAGGGATTGGCAGTAGTGGGAAACTACGGGGGCAGGGTGGAGCAGGCTCACTTCATCTATAAGTGTACCTGATCTCTAACCAGGTGAAGTGGGGACCAAAATGAGGTCCAAACTTTACCTGTACAATGACCATTTGTATACCAAACCCTGAATTGTACCTTTTTTTTTTCTTAGTTGGAGTTTCACTCTGTCACCCAGACTGGAGTGCAGTGGCTGTTCCCGGCCACCACAGCCTCGACCTGCTGGGCTCCTGTGATCCTTCCGCCTCAGCCTTCTGAGTAGCTGGAACTACAGGCGTGTGCTACCACGCCCAGCTAATATTTTGATTTATTGTAGATGAGGTCTCGCCAAGTTGCCCAGGTGGGTCTCGAACCCTCGAACTCAGGCAATCCACTCACCTCAGCCTCCCAAAGGCGCGGGATTACAGGCTGAGCCACCGAGCCTGGCTGCTCAATTGTACCTCATGGCTTTTTTTTTTTTTTTTGAGTTGGAGTCTCACTCCATCTACCGGGCTGGAGTGCCGTGGCACACTCACAGCTACCCCAGCGGCGAAGTGCTGAGCTCAGGCAATCCTTCCACCTCAGTCTTCCAAGTAGCTAGAACTACAGGCATGCACTACTATGTCTGACTAATTTTTGATTTATTGTAGAGATGAGGTGTTGCCAAGTTGCCCAGCATGGTCTCGAACCTGTGGGCTCAGACAATTCCCCTCACCTCGGCCTCCCAAAGTGCTGGAATTACAGGCTTGATCCACTGTGCCCAACCATACCCTATATCTTTAAAGCAAAAATTTTTAAAAAGTGAAGTCTTGGGATACAAAATCAACGCACAAAAGACAGTTGTATTTCTCTACACCTCTAAAACTGGTAAGGATGGCTATCATGGTTATTATTAATAAGTCAAAAAAACAACAGATGCTGACATAGCTGTGAAGTAAGGCAATGGTTCTGCCCTGTTGGCAGTGTTTAAAATAGTTTACACTTTATGGAAGGCAATGTGGCTATTCCTCAAATAACTAAAAATCAAGCTTCCATATGATCCAGGAACCCCCTTCCTGGGAATAGAACCAAAGGACAACTTCACTCAACAAAAGACTTTTACACACCCAGGTTTATTGTAGCACTATTCACATTATCAAAAATATGGAACCAACCTGGATGCCCGTTGAAAGGGTCTGGATAAAGAAAATGTGGTACATATACACAGTGGAATATTATGCAGTCATAAAGAAAACAAAATCATGGCCTTTGCAGCAACTTGGATACAGCTGGAGGCCATCACTAAGTGAACTTGCACAGCAACAACTGAATACCACATGTTCTCATGCAGAAGTCGGTACTGACCACTAGTCATACTAGCACAACACTGAGATTGGCAGACATTGACCACTGCAAAGGAAGGGAGTCAAGGAGTAGGGAGAGGGGGTACATGGTAACACACTGGGTACCTAGTCCCCTATCAAGGGCAGCCAGGGCTAGCTAGAAGCCCAAACTTTACCTGCATGCAACCTACTCATATAGTAAATCCCCATTTGTATGCCACTTGTACCCCACAACTCTAAAAGAAAAATATGTTAGAAAAGATGTGGTCTGGGAATGTTGACCAATGGACAAATATCCAAGAGGAAATAAAAGGAAAGAAGATTTAGAACACTGGTGAAATAATTGGACATGGATAAGAGGATTGGAGATGGAGAAAAAGAGCATCAGGACTTCCTCTTAGACAAGGTAAAAATAGGCCTTAGCCACGTACATTTGTAGGCTAACAGTACGGATTTGTAGGCTAACAGTACAGCAAGTAGTAAATTCTAGTGTTTTAAGGGGGTATAGTTCTATCGCACTTATATTCAGACTTTTTTTTCTCTTGTCCCATGCAGACTGAGGTAGTCCTTCTATGTTGCCTCGATTCTTCTAAATCTCCTTGGTTCATGTATATGATAACACATTGGCTAAGTCTGTGACTTGACTTTTTATCATTGTATACCCATCAGCCAAAGCAGCCAAATCAATACCCCTTCCAGTAAGGGAGCTGGCTTAGCCTTCTAGAGATTGAAGCTGGCTTAGAAAGACCAATGACAAAAGATGTAGGACAAAAGCTAAGCGGGAAACTTAAGGCATTCACTAGGAAACTCAAATTCCACTGATTTGTGGCTGGGTAGTTTCTTAGAGATAAGTACATGTCAAATTTGTCTTCGCAGTATTTTAATGTGGAATGGGGGAGAACTGTCAAAATGCAAAAATTGGATGTTTTTGAAGGAAATAGGATTTTCTTAATTCCCCTAATATATCACTTTTATTTTTTATTTCAGCTGTGCATGAATATGATCTGTTGTCAAGGTGGACAGCAGACAGACTTAATGCTGTTGTCATATCAACCAAGTAAGAGCTGTGTTGTTGTTTTTTCATATCAGATGCCTTGCATACCAAAATACCCCCAGCTTTCTTGGCAGGTGTATTATTATGTCAAAAACAAATATTTCTCAGATGATGCTAGGTAGGCTCCTGAAAGTGAGAGGGAAGCCTAATCTGATTAGCATTGAAAAAAACTCCGTGTGTGTGTGTTATTCAGGCAGGAGGAAGGCGCTGAAAATAAAGAATTTTTTTCATGTGATTTAAATTGTATCATTCATGGATGTAAATTGCCTGCATTGGAGGCTAGATATCCTTTCAACTACTAATTCACTGTCTTTAAGAATGAGTGTCCTGGAGTTAGAGGATTATCTATAGAAGTACATCATAAAGAAGTTCTACTTCAGATGATCATTGTGAAGACTGTGATCACATCCCTGAAGAGAACTAGCCCAGTGTGTAGTACTTGATGAACGTAAAGTATTAACATTGATCATCAAATTATACAAAGTCAATGAGTTCATGTAAAATTGTGTAAATCAATCATCTATGTTTGAAAAGAACACTTAGGGGCAGTAAAGTTAGTGGTGGATTGCTGGGTTGAACTAAACAGAACAATATTTACCTATTTAAATTTAAACTTCAAAAAAATAAATAAAAAAATAAAAAGGAACATAGTCATGATCATTTGTCAAGTTAAGTCATTACTATAAAGTTGAAACCTAGTCCTGTCTAATATTCGGTTGTGATTACTAATAAATTAAGTAATTAGAATAATAATTTTAAAAGTAATTAGAGGGCTGGGGGTGGTGACACATGCATATTGACCTAGCACTTTGGGAAGGAAAGGCGACAGGCTATCTGAGTCCAAGTGTTTGAGATCCGCCTGGGCAATTTGTTGAGAACTTGTCTCTACAGTAAATCAAAAAAATTAACTGGGCATGTTGGCGCAGAATGCGATGGCAGCTACGTGAAAGACTGAGATGGAAGGATTGCCTAAGGCCAAGAAGTTAAAGCTGTGTTATCTGTGAACATTCCACTGTACTCCAGCCTGCGAAACCGAATGAGAATCTGACCAAACAAACTAAATAAATAATAAATAAATAAAAGTAACTAGAAAAACCAAACTTATACTAACTTTCATATTCCAACTTTATTTTTAAAGATCATTTTCTTAAAGATGGGAAGTCAAATGACAGTACAAGACATATACCTGTGTTTAAGTCATTAAAATCACATGCACCCAAAACATAAAATATACTTTCAAAATATGTATGCAAATGCATGCCTTGCCTTTAAATATACTCTTATTGTATTTACATTAAAGATAAAGAACAGTTCCAGCTATTAATAAATGGTGAATTTTGGCTCTGTCAAAATTAAAATGGCCAATAAGCACATGAAAAGATTCTCAACATCATTAGGGAAATACAAGTCAAAACCACAATGAAGTATCACTTCACACCTATTAGGATATTAGGATGGTTCTAATAAAGAAATAGATAACCCGGGCTCTGTGGCTCAGCCTGTAATCCCGTGCCTTGGGAGGCTGAGGTGAGTGGATTGCCTGAGCCTGCGGGTTCGAGACCCGCCTGGGCAACTTGGTGAGACCTCATCTCTACAACAAATCAAAAAATTAGCCGGGTGTGGTAGCGCGCACCTGTAGTTCCAGCTACTTGGAAGCTGAGGCAGAAGGATCACCAGAGCCCAGCTGGTCGAGGCTGTGGTGGTGGCGAGCGGCCACTGCACTCTAGTCTGGGTGACTGAGTAAGACTCCAACTCAAAAAAAACCCCAAAAAGAAATAGATAATATCAAGTGTTAGTGAAGACATAGAAAAATTGGAACCTTCTATACTGCTGGTGAGAATATAAAATGGTGCGGCCATGTTAGTAAACAGTTTGACAGTTCTGCAAATGTCGGGCATATAGTTACCATATGACCCAGCATTTCCATATCTAGGTATAGATTCAAGTGAAATGAATGTACTCATGAAAGCGTGTACATTCATAGCAACATTATTCATAAAACCTAAAAAGTCAAAGCAACCCAATGTTTCTCAATTAATGAATGGAAAATATGCATGTTCGTACAGTTGAATATTTTCTGTAAATAAAAATGAACACTACAACACACATAAACATTAAAAATATCATGCAGGGTACCTGCAGGCATAATGAGCATTTATATACCTAACCCTGAATTGCACCCCACATCTTTAAAATTTAAAAAAAATGCTAAGGGAAATGTCAATCACAAAATGTCACACATTCTATGTTTCCATTGATATAAAATGTCCAAAATAGGCAAAGTTTTAGAGACAGGATTTAGGTATTGATTACCTATGGCTTTGGGTGGGGGAATGAGAAATGACTACTAATGGGTGCAGGGTTTCTTTTTGGAGTGGTAAAAATGTTCCAAATTGATTGTGGCAAAGATTGCAGAACTCTCTGAATATAAATAAATACCATTGAATTAAATACTTGCATTTTCTTATCTTTTATTTTTTATTTTTTTGATTGGAGTCTCACTCTGTCACCCAAACTGGAGTGCAGTGGCATGCTCACAGCCACTGCAGCCTCGACATGCTAGGCTCAGGCAATCTTTTGCCTCAGCCTTCAAAGTAGCTGGAACTACAGGCATGCATCACAACACCTGGATATATATATTTTTTAATTGTTGTAGAGACGAGGTCTCATGTTGCGCAGGCTGGTCTCAAACTCGTGAGCTCAGGCAAACTTCTCACCTCTGCCTCCCAAAGTGCTGGGAATACAGGTGTGAGTCATGCCCAGCTGAATTGCATACTTTTAATGTGAATTTTATGCCTTGTGTATATCTCAATAAAGTAGTTATATCAAAATTAAAAACATATGTTTATTAAAAGACATCAATGTGAGTCTTAAAGTGTGTGTATGCACATATTATATATACACAGATATATATCCATGAGTGCTTTGCAAATACATATTTTTTCTTATCTAAAACATATAAACACCTACCAATTAATAGACGTATAGGAGAAAGTTTCCAAGACAACTTACAGAAAAGCATACTGAAATCATCAGTAAACATATAAAAACCACTATATGTCAGGAAAGTATAAATTAAAATCATTGGGAGATACCTCTGCATACCTGACATTATGGCTAAAATGAGTTAGACATTATACACCAAGAACTGACAAGACTAGGCAACAGCCACTTTCATAAACTGTTGGTCCAAGAATAACTTGGCAAAACTCTTTGACAGTGTTAAGTAAAGCTAAAGATATGTGCATAACTCCGTGACCATCAATAATGCAGGCATATATCAACTGAAATATATACATATGTTCACCAAAAATCATGTATTAGAAATCCACGGCAGCTCTGATTGTGAAAGTCCAAGACTGCAAGCAGCCTAAATCCCCAAAATATTCTTGTAACTTGTAAAAATATTAATTGTGATAAGAGCACTTACCTTAATGAATTTTTTTAGCGTACATTATTGTTGATGTTATATATGGCACATCTCAACAGCTTATTCATCTTGTTTGATTGAAAAATTTGCCAGTTAACTAGTAACTCCCCAATTGCACCTTCCCACAGTCTCTGGCAAATACCATTTCCCTTCTGATTCCTTGTGTTTGGTTCATTGAGATACCACATTTGAGTGGAGTCATACATTGTTTCTGAATGGCTTATTTCACTCAGTCCATCGACTTGTTAATGAATTGTGGTACATTCACACAATGAGGAAAGGAAAGGAAGATAGAAGCAAGTAGCAACGTGGATGTGGCCCCAAAACATAATGCTGAAGAATTGAAACCAGATACACAGGAGCACATGCTATATACTTCCATTTATTTAAAGATCAAAACAGGTTCAAATCCATGTTGTTACATCAGGTCAGCGGATACTTCAGGAGTTAGAAAAGTAAATTAAATGTTTTTGCAGTGTTGGCAGTGCTCTATTTTGTGATCTGAATGCTGGTTGTATGACTGTGTTCAGTTAGAAAGTGATAAAACTTATATGTTTATGATATGTGTTTTTCTAGCATGCATAGTATGCTTTAATTTTTTTTAAGTGACATGAAAATCTTTTTTTTCTACACAGCTACAGATTAGCACCTAAGTATCATTTCCCAACTCAATTTGAAGATGTATATAATGCCTTACAGTGGTTCTTACGTGAAGACGTTCTTTCAAAATATGGAGTGAACCCTGAGAGAGTTGGTATTTCTGGAGACAGTGCAGGTGGGAATTTAGTTGCAGCAGTGACTCAACAGGTAGGATGCTTGTCATTTCTGTGCTTCTAAAAAAATGACCTATTTATGAACAGATTTAATATTTATACTAAAATGTAATGCAAATATCATGATACTTATTAAAGTGTATATATATATATAAAGTGTATATATAAAGTGTATATATATATAAAAAGTGTAAAAAGTGTATATATATAAAGTGTATATATATATAAAAGAGAATATTGAGAAGAAACACCTGAAACATCAAAATGTCAATCTCTGCTCCTGCCAGAGGTTTTTGTTTCTTGATTGATAACTCTGTGAATAGATCATTGATTTAAAATTATATATGTGTCAGTAAAATATTATAGTAGTCAAATGAATGAGATCATATACTTGTGAGACCAGACAATGACATAATAAGCCTATTGGAGGTTCTAGTGGATTCAATATCTTCAATGTAGTATTCTTTTTAATGCCAAAATAATCACTCTATTTTTTGAAAATTATCAGCATATTCAAAGATTTTTATGCTACTTACAAAGAATAAATATGAATAATTCAAAAGATTTCTTTGTGTGTGTATGTAAAAACAGATAGTTTATCTGTCATTTAATTATAGTAATATAATAATAACAAGAAATGGACTTTTTTCAGATTATATGTAAAATAAGTTTTATCTTTAAGACAAAGTACTATTATTGATTGTTTAAAACATAAACTATTTTCCCACATAGTAGTGAGAATCAGGAAGAAAAGTTTCCTATAAACTACATATGCAGAACTTTAGATTTATTAATTGAATTAATTATAAACTATGGATTAAAGGAATTAAAATACTGCTGTTATTTGCTTTGTTAGCTATATTTACTTATAACTTTTCACACTAAAAATGTTTTAATAATTTGATAGTATTCTCAAAAGGAAAAAAAAAGAATGGTAGGTTGGTTTTTGTTCCAACCACAATACAGTAAATGTATCTGAAATTTCTAATCATTACTATGAGTTTTACAATGTAGTAGAAAAAGTATTCTTTGGACATCAGGAGGCTTGAATTTTCTCGAAATGCAGTAATATCTAGAATGATGGTGTGAAGGTCATTTAATAATATCTCTAAACATTCACTATTCTCATCTATAAAACAATGAACCCTTTTTTAGCTTTACAGCATTGTTTTATGGGTCAACTGAAAATTTTATATAAAAATAATCTGGCAACCCATATGATCTTTGCAAATAGTCTCCAAAATGCCCCAAATTTTCTACTTTAAACTTTATGGTTAAAATGTTGATAAATATCGCAATTTGCTAAATATTTGGGGGTACATTCAATAATATCTATACTTTTATGGATAAGTTATATGTATCTTTTATAGTATAATACATGGTGCACTCCGAAAACATGGATAAAATTACATTTTTGTGTGTAATTTTCAAAATTTAAAACATATTTTATAATATTTCATTCTTATGGATCCTTTTCTCACCCATTATGGTATTGTGCACCCCTCTCTTCAGATCACTGATCTTTACAAATATTAGCATATTAGGCTTTATATCAAAAAACCTGCCCAAATCTTCTAAAGCAGCATGTCATTTTAGCATCAAAGTCACATCAGAAATCCCTATAAAGTGACACACTCCATGGCAAAACCAGTTTGTTTGCTGGTATATTTTAATAAATTCTTACATTAACAAAAGAGAAAATTTATGAAGTTCTTCTGGCTGCCATTCTTGGTAGAAAGAATAGGATATTAACTTTCTAATTAATGCAAAATGATTTAATTATGAAACTTTTTGTATATGACAGATCATTTTCCTTAAGTTAAAAGCATCCTTTAAGGACTATCTAGCTTTAGAAACCCACCATGAACATTTGAAATATTGTTGAAATGACATATTTCAATTTTTCACTATGTTTTTGAGATATGAATTTATATATAGATTATCTCATTAGGGTTATTATATTGTCTTGTAATGAAAGTAATTTGTGCAAATCATTTTAATTGTTTCTCAGCTTTTGGATGACCCAGATATCAAGATCAAACTCAAGCTTCAATCTTTAATTTATCCTGCCCTTCAGCCTCTTGATGTAGATTCACCATCATATCGAGAAAATTCTCATTTTCCAATTCTGTCCAAATCCATGACAATCAGATTCTGGAGTGAATACTTTACTACAGACAGATCACTTGAGAAAGCCATGCTTTCCAACCAACATGTACCTGCAGAATCAAGTTATCTCTTCAAGTTTGTTAATTGGAGTTCCTTACTCCCTAAAAGATTTGTTAAGGGACATGTTTATAACAATCCAATTCATGGTAGCCCTGAACTGGCTAAAAAATACCCAGGATTTCTGGATGTGAGGGCAGCCCCGCTGTTGGCTGATGACAACAAATTGTGCTGTTTACCCCTGACCTATGTAATCACCTGCCAATATGACATCTTAAGAGATGATGGACTAATGTATGTCACCCGACTCTGGAACGCAGGAGTTCAGGTGACTCATAGTCATGCTGAAGAAGGGTTCCATGGAACATTTTCATTCCTGGAATTTAAAATCAGTTATAGGATGATAAATCAGTATATTGATTGGCTAAAGGAAAATCTATAATATAACATGTATCCTTGATGTATTTTAGAAATCAAGTAAATCTCAAAACTATAGGAAATCCACATGTTGGAAACTGATCTTTCTTGGAATGGTCTACTTAAGGATTACATGTAGCAGCCTATTCTTAAATACTCATGTGTCTGTTTTTCTTCCTTACTCTGAGGAATTTCATTTATTTTCAACTTATCTGCTTTTCTGATATGTTCCCTCTTACATTGTTACTTTTTTAAAAATTATTTTCTTATATGCTCTTTTTCTTTTGGTTCTTGACCACTATTGACAAATACAATAGGATAAACATCAGAAAATAGAAGATTTAAATCAATGTACATTAGGGTCTGAAACACTCCTAATCCCAGATATGTGTTAAGTACTGACTCTTTTAGGCAGAGTGAGGACCAGCTGGAGGTCCAAACTTAACCTGCACATAGACTACTCATGTACCCCACACCTCAATAATAAAATAAAGAGAAAACAAATAAAGCAAAAAAGCAAAAAAAAAAAAAAAAAAAAAACCTGGCACAACACCATTTTTTCATCATAATTTTTTTATGAAACACCTCAGGAATTCCTGTACCAAGTGTTAAGTCATTCAGTGCCAAAATCACTGTGGTATTCTGAGGAATTGACTACTTTTTATTTAAGGAAAGGTAGAGAAGCTGAAGTTCAGTAAAGACAGAAGAGATCTTTGGGTTGGACAATGACCTACTGACAGCCAAAGACCTCAGGTGTGGAAGTAGCTGACCAACAACAGGAAAATTACAGAATCATTTAATCTGTGAAAAGTCCATCATGAAATTGCAGGAAGGAAGGTAAATAAAAAGGAATGTGTTTCAGGGCTGTACAGAATAGTTTGCAGTGGCCATGAACTATGTCAGGTGTTCTAGTCAAGATGAAGCACAGCCATCAGCAGACTTCAGGTGGTACAGAAATGCTACACTGTCACCAGGGATTAAAGTTTCTTCTGTCTTTGCACTTCACCATCCCCAGTGTCTGTGTGTGTTTTCATACTCATATTTATTGCACTTTTGAGTATCACCTCAATTTTCTATCTAGACAGATATGGAGTATGACCAAGGAGCCACATTTGAGGCAATTTCATTTTATCATAGAAATAGTAATAATCCCAGAAGCTCCAACCAGTAGACTTCTTATATTTCATTCCTCTATTTTTCTCTTTTAATTTCTTATCCTCCTTATCCAAAACATATTCTGTGGTCAGAGTAATGCTTTCCTTGTATATGCTATCAACCATCAACTCTTGGATCTCTACTTCTCTAGTTGTTTGTCAAAACCTCAATCTTAAAGAAATTCATCTCTCTGTCTACTTTGCACGTGAACCTATGCAATTAAACATGGTTGAACAAAAACAAAAAAAGTGGTAAAATTTCCCATTTTAATGAAGAATGCAAACCTCAGTTATGAGATGGGATCCAAAAATACCCCAAGAATTATCTTTTGTAGGGTGGGCCCCTTGTAGTTCAGGCTTCCCCTGCTAGGTGTGTTCTAGGAACCCATCAGCATCATTGTACCAGCTAGCATTGTTCTGTGAAGCTGCATTGCAGAAGACACATTCTGAGTTGTGGCAAATAGGTGACTGGTTCTTCCACCATGATAATGCAACTGCCTGTACCTCACTGAGTGTTCATCAGTTTTTGACCAAGAACAGCATGTCTCCTGTGCCACATTCTCCTTATTCACCAAATCTCATTCCTGCAACTTTTTTATTGTTTTCCTGGATCTAAAAAAGTCCTCAAGGGGAAACGTTTTGCTGATGTGGAAGAAGTGAAACAAAGAATGGCAGAAGTACTAAAGGCATCAAAATAGATGATTTCAAAAATTGTTTTGAGCAGTGGTAAAAGCATCTCAATAGGTATATTGCATCGAATGGAGAGTACTTTGAAGGTGACTGAAGTTTAAACATGTAATAATAAATACACATTTTTTATAAATAAATTCTGATTTTTTTAATCCCCCTCATGTATGTCTTTAATGATACCTTGCAATCATCGTATGGTTTTCCAGTCACTTCAGCCTTGTGTTCCTAACTCTTGTCAAATCTCCAACATCTTCTCTGCCATCCTTTATCCCAGCTATTGACCTTGCTTCCCACTTAACTGAAAAAACAAATAATTGAAGATTATTTCCATAAGTTCTTGCCCTCATTAACCCAAGCACCAGTATCCTTACCTATATAGTCTATCTCACCTTCTCCACCTCTTGTTATTATAGATGAACTAAGCAGTTATGCATCTATGTAAGGATTGTTTCCCTCTGTATGTGCATTTGGTCCCATTTTCTTTTAAAATCTTGACTCTTCTTCTTTTAATTCTCCAGCATCAATTTTTCCCTTTCTTCTATATCATCCCCATTAATAAATATATATCTTAAATATATATATCCATACATATGTCTTAAAAAATGGCAAAACTTTCTCAACATAATTTTCCTCTCCAGCCCCCTTCCTATTTCTTATTTTCTTTTATATAAATATTCTTGGAAAGAGTTTTCTATACTTGTTGCCTCTATTTCCCCTCACTCCATTCTGTCTTATATCCACTTTGATCAGCCTTTCTTTCTTCATGAACCACCAAAATCACTCTTGTCAATGCTAATGATAACCTCTACATTATTTGAGTCAATTCTCTGTCCTCATCTTCCTTGGCTGGAAACAGCATTTGACCCAGTCAGTCACTCTATATTCCTTAAAACACGTTTTTGCTTAGCTTCGTGTAATCACTGTCTCCTGGATTTTCTCCTGTCTCTTGAGTCACACATTCTCAGTCACGTCTTCTGTGCCTATTTCTGTTTCCTGCTTCTCAGTGGACTTCTGCTCAGATCTCTACTCTACACTCACTTGTCTGGTGATGTCACCTAGTCTCATAGCTTTCAATGACCTGTATGCTGAAACCCCAATTCACATGTCCAACTTGGACCACCTCAATTCTACATTAGTATTCATTCAACAGCCTACATGACAACATTTAGATGTACATAGACGTCTCAGAGTTAAATTTCTGATCTTCATGAAAACCACTTAAAGATTTTTTTATTTTAGTAATGAAAATTCCATATTTCTCCTCTTTCTCATATCAAGAGAAACTGAAAGTCAAAACTCGGTTCTTTTTCTTCTGTCATGAATAAATGCATTAGCAAATATTTTGGGTCTGTCTTCAAAATATTTGGAGAAATCAACCATTTCTTAACATTTCCTTTGCTAATACCCTGATACCACATACCATAAATTTTCACTTAAAAAAAAAAAATCCCTGTGGCCTTCTAATTGATCTCTGCCTTTTCCCTGTCCTCTTAGCCTACTTAGCATACCAGAAATGATTATATTTTAAATACGGAAGCCAGAAGATATCATTCCTTTACTAAAAATCTCCCAAAGTCTTCTCATCTTCGGCAGATTGTAAGCTAAATTCTCCCAATGGCCCACACAATCTAAGCTACTATTTATCTCTAATTTCATTTCATATTATGCTTGCCTTCTATACTCCAGCTAATCTGGCCTCTTTGATATTCCTTAAACTCCAGCTTTTGCAACTTTGCACCTGCTGTTCTTTTGCATTCTATAACCTCTTCTCAGATATTCATTTCCTCAAATATTACCTTCTAATGGAGGTTGAACCTCATAACTCTATTTAAAACCATATCCCATCCACCCTATACCTACCACAGTGCCTGACCTACTTTCTTATCTTCAAGCAGGTCAAGTTTGATCTCATTCTTTTGATTGCTTCATATGATTTATCACATTCTGAGATGAGCTTGTTCCTTTATTTACTCAGACTAGTGGCAACTTGCTTTGTTTACAACAGATAATTAGCATATGACCAAACCTATGCTGCATCAGATTAGTCTGTAACTAGGAATGGATGTCAGATCTGTTAGTTAATCTATTTTTTCTTATCAAAATTCTCATTTTGCAAGTGAAAAAAAGCCAAACAAGTAATTTAACTAACAAAAACACAAACATTATTAACAAAAATATCAAGTTAAAAATTCATCTTGTGCTTTTTTTTTAACAAATTGGTCATAATTAAAGAGGAAACTCTGAAATGTTGACTGAATTATTAATGTAATAGTTGTAAAAGTTGTCAGCCACAATATACTCTGGCAACACGTTCATAGTGAAAAAACATGCCCATTAGTTCTATCATCTATTTCAAAACAGCAGGCAAGCCAAACTTCTAAACAACAAAAACTTTACGCAGGGCATCTAAGGTGTGCCATATTCTACTCCCTTGGTGAACTTATTCATCCATGCATTTCAGAAGAGGCAGAAAAACTTAGCTTGCATTTGTGAAATATTTTCAGGCTACATTTAAGGAATTTCCCCCCAAATCTTCTGTAACAAGAAGTTAAACAAATGTCTTTGGACATCACAAGATTTTGCTAGTGTTACTCTGTCAGTTTTTATGATTTCTTTGGCAATTTCTTGGTCTTCATTTTTCTATACCCACATATTAGTCTCAATCCTAGATCTAGTTTTCTTAAAACAAACTTTTCTAGAACAAGATACTTTGCTAATTATGTATTTTGAAGGAGAATATAAGATAGAACCAAAATTCTCAATTTTTCTTGAGCATCAGAGTGACCCAGCATGGGTTCCAACCCAGAGTTTCTGACTCAGTAGGTCTGGTTTGCAATTCCAGCATTTGCATTTTCTACAAATTCCCAAATGATTGATGTCTAGTGAATACATGTCAATGACTGTTGATTTAGATGCTGTATCAGATTTAGTGTGGACTAAAAATCATCTGGAAGGGTTCTTTTTAAAAACAGATTTGGGGGTACCACCACCCAGAGCTTTCCTTCCTTCCTGAGGCCCTCAGGTGACTTCAAACAAAGTACATTTTGAAATAAGTTCAATCTGGTAATAAAATAAAATGAGCATAATAATTTCTTCAGTTGATAGTTATAGGTAAAGCATTTGTTGTTCAAACTGAAGAGAAGGAAGGTAGCGTATTGTCAAGAAGAATCTCATAGGAGAC